GGGGCCCCTGGGGGCCTGATGGAGCTGGTGACTTAATTTGGATTAAACATCTTTTAATACAAAAACACGGTGGATCGGCAGTGGACCGACTCAACACCCCGACCACCGGGCTTAGCAAGTTTTCTGGGGGAAACCCTGATGTTATAATGTTATTCCCCCATCAAAAACATACCTGGAGTGTTTCATGCATGTATGACAAATCCCTTAATCTCCCATGCCAACCAATGTTTGTAAAACGATTGATGAGACCGAGTGCCACCTTTGAGACAAAGCTCCTCCTCGGAGCTGCAGTTTCCAAGTTTCTGAGCTTCTTTATCACAAAGCAGCCCCTCCCCCACGACTGCCCCACTCAACTCCTTCAGACTAGCAACTTAAATTAGCAAACACCTGGTGAAGTTATGCATCTATGAGCTCATTATACGAGATACTTCTCAGTGCAACACTGTTAAAAACATTGCTAAAGGGTTAATAGAGGAGCAATGTTGTGATGACTTCCTGAAGATGGAGTACAGGCCTTTCTTAAAGAGACAGATGTCCATTTTGAAGACCTGTGTTAAATTATGAAGTAAATTTTTATAAGACATATTTTATAAATACAGTATTTATGACGACCAAAAGTAACATAGTTACTGGACTGTGCTATAAAATAGCAAAACTAACCAACAACAATGACCCAATACTGGCCCTTTAATGCTACTATTGGACCCTATTTTTTGTGGTACTTTTCCCCAGAATTAAAGTTTTGCAAAGTTAGAACATTTAGTTCATTTGCACCATGTCAGCAAACTATTGCTTTATCTGAAAGATGTCAAGAGAATCCTACAAGGTCAAATCTGCAGTTCTCTAGGAATAATAGCAAATTTGAACAGCGTAGACTTATGCATTCAGGCTTCTACAGCATTTCTCCAAATTTGCTTGAGTTTGAGTTTTTTGTTTGTTTTGTTTTTTTCCGCGGTGCCCTGCCATCACATGTCACAAAAATAGGCGGAGTATGGGTATGACACAAAAATCCGTCAGTTTCAGAGGTACACATATGAATCGAGTAAACAATGGTCTGAATGCAGATTCATAAAAGAAAGATTTGACATAAAATAACGAGCTACTGACGGTTAAAATCAGAATTTTTCATAGAGCAGGAAATATCTTGGTTCATATGGCGGGGCATGGTGGACGCCTGATGAAAGCAGTACTAAAACATTGTTTTTATCCAACTCCCCTTAACTACAGAGCCTTTGTACCAAAGCTACTTCTTCCTCTGGATGTCACAGCCGAAAAATCTTTAGCTCTGTTCATGATTTAGAAAAGAACATAAGTTCTTCAAGTTTTGGGGAAATGGACCCCGTTTTTCCAAATTAAGTCAGTTACGAATGTTACCTCATTGTCCTTTCTCTCTGCCATGTTTGGTAGTACATGTAGAAGTCAATGATGTCCCCAAATCCAGTTAAGAACAATTAGTCCAAACACTTGTGTATGTGCTGCATCTCAGTGTCAGAGCTCACTCGCAACTAGCATCGTGTCCTCGAAAATGACTTCCGGCTGTGGGGTTCAAAATAAAACGTCGTGGTCATTAAAGGCAGTCAAAGCCCTCAGTTAACGTCCTCTAAATGTAATGTAAATGCAGATTTTGGCCTATAACCCCATTACACGATAACTCTGAACTAAAATGGACCCCTGAAATGTAACATGTCATGTAGTCTGTGCGTTTAGTATTTTTGTTTTGAAATGCAACGTTCACCACTCTACCGAATAACATGTGATCCGGAAGTGTGGCCGGCTTTTTTCCGGTAGAAACAATTATGAAAGGAGAAAGAAGACGAGGAAACGAAAGGTGACGCATAACAAGTGAAGCACGCAGCCCGTTAAAATAAACGATGGAATATGATTAAAAATCAAACTTTGTTGTTTTTCATTGAATATTGAAGCATTTACAAAAAAACAACGACTTACTCACTACAAGTCTTTAACAAAAATGAAATGTAAAAAGATGAGCAGAAATAACCGCAACAGGCTGCATACGAGCTGGCACATGCACTCTTTGCACATACTGTACATATGAAATGTATTTACTTTGTCTTTAAGTATTCTTGATAGATTCAAATCTAATATCCTTACAACCTTGTGACTTTGCTACAACATGGTCACCATATGTATTTTAAAAGCGATGCTTGAATTTTTTTGAGTTTTTCTGCTTATTTTAAGCCCATTGCTGTTTGCTAGAAAAACAGCTGAAAACGGATTTGTTCTCCTAGGGTCTTCTGTTTGTTTATAGTCTTGTTATTTATGGTATACTTTGTGCCTGTGAAAAGTGCTTTGTAAATTTAACTTAGATTTATTTTCAGAGAAAGTGGAGACTGTATATCTGAGCACATTCCACAAATGCAATGCAAAAATAGTATAGTATCTGAGTTTATATGCCTTAACTCAGATTAACTAAACACACAAATTGGAATTTTTAATTTTCCAATTTGTAAGCAGATTTAACCTCTGCTCTTCTTACCATTGATCAAAAGAAGCAGTGTCTTTTTAGACTAGCAGTCACCCAGGCAAAAACTGGAGCTCTGCACCCTAAAGTTCTAGTTATCATTCCCTCCTAAACTTGAAGAAAAAGTACAACTAAATTTGAACAATCAACACATGAAGTCATCCCTGCTACAGGCCAGAGTAACATAGCCAACAATATAGGTTGGTGTGACTTTATAATTTGAAAACCTATCAATAAAAACAGGCACACTCTGGTAGTTTCTTGCCTAATGTCCAGAATCTAGCAGCAGAGGTGGGAAAATTACACTGAAGATATTTAGTCACAAACTCAGTAGTTATGACTCATATCCAGATTTATTGATTTTAAACAGCAAAACCAGCACTCAACAACCAGCAATAAGAACTAGTCAGGAATCAAGAATAAATGGACAAACCAGGAATACTGGACCTGATTTGTTCTTTTATTATATGGCATATATATGAGGAAAAAAAATGTATAAACCTAATCTGTAGGTGACCTTTTCATGACCCAGGCATAGATCAGACAAACTTGCAAGCCTAATGATCTGTAGTTTGAACAGCTTAACCAAAGGTCTGAGTAACAGAAATAGAAACAGACATTGATCTGGCCCTTTTATTTGATACTTTCAGACAATGTTTGAAACCAGAACTGAATTCAGTCAGTGCGTTTTCAATCAGTTTGAATTTCAGTCCCTGGCAGTCAGTCTCTACTTTGGTCCACGCAGCAGATGTAAAACCAGCTCCTCATCATCAGCCAGTGAAAGGCCAGTGTCCAGGCCAATATGCTCATCATTCAGCTGCTTTCCTTTCCTTTCTTTCTTGTCAGGCTCCTTGTTGCAGCTGTGTTGTTTTTTAGCATAACCCTCTTCCTCTTCATCTGATGAGTGCAACTGATCAGGGTCTGGCAAGATGCTGGAGTCAAACTCCCCCCCGCTGTGACAGGCCAAGTATGCTGTATTTTCCTCATCAGACCTTCGTTGCCGCTTACTTGCCTCCCTCCTGGCCTCTTTGGCCTTGAGCCTCTTATTCCTGTGTTCAGCTTGAACCTTGCGTCTGTACTCTTGCTTGTCAAACTCCTGATCTTCACGTCTAAGCCTGTCTCTGGCCTTTGCCACATTGATGCCTAAAACATCGTCTTCCTCATCCTCAGCAGTTACCGTTTGCTGCACTGGGGGCCAAAGCTGCACAGCTTCTCCTTCTTCATTAAAAGTAGTCTTGGTATTGATTTGGAAGTTTCTCTTCAAGAGCTTTTTGGTCTTTTTGAACTTCGTTTCTTTTCTGGTGTTATTTGGGCCTTGGGGAGTGTCCTCCACACACTCTGGGTGCCCCGACAGCTCAAAGACATCCTTTCTTTTGACAGTCAGCAGTTCCAAGTCTCGAAGATCATCTTCATCTTCACTAATGTCACCATGAAGTGCTTTTGAGGACTTGTCCACATTTTCTTCTGTGTCGTGTTCAACAACTCCACAGGGCACTTTCTTACTCAGCTGAACTCTAAAGCTCTGGAGTTCTTCCTCTTCATCGGACTCCTCCTCATCCTCATTCTCTGCTTTCTGTGCATGGGCTTTACTGAGGAAGCGCACCCTAGGGCAAACAGCAAGGCCCAGAGATAGAGCATACTGCCTAATTGGCAGCTCAAAGATGTCAAAGACTTGTTTGTTTTTCATTAGATGGACTGAGCGCAGGTAAGAAACAAAGCACCTCTGGGCTCTTTCTTTCTGCTCCGTCTCCTGGGCCAGGAAGGCCTCCAGCTTCTGCTGCACACACTGCACTTTTTCTGGATTCACCTGAAATCAATACACAGATTCAGTTGAGTTGTGGGTATGAACATGAAATAAAAATGTTCATACCTCTAATTCACAGCTTCAAGAAAATTAAATATGAAGAAAGAAAAATGATGCCGTTTTAATTTTAAGTAATTCTACTGCCTGGATACAGTTTATAAATTATGAAAACACACTGTTAAAGTTGACAGATCCTGCAGTTTAATGGATTTCTGTCAGGTTAAAACAGCTCTACTTAAAACCTAGGAACATTTAGAAGGGTCAAATTAGGACAAAATTACCTCCCATCAAACTCTGCTTCCTGCACTTGTAAACGTTCAAAACCTCAGAGTGTCAGTGTTGTATTTGGTACCCAACCCAGCCCAAGTTTTAAAACCAGACTCAGTTACTACACTAGTGTGAAGAAATCAATTATGTTTATATTTGGGCTCTTTTACACAGGAACTCTAAAATTGTCAATTTCATCTCAACATAAATTTGACAAAAATTCATGTTGAAATTAAACTATTCCCAAGCTACCAAGTTTGAATTAAATATTAAAAAACAATAAGGAATATTTTAATCTTTTGAAATAAATGTTTTACCCTTTAAATAAATAAATACCCATACACCCCAAACACATTGCAGAGAAATTAAACACTTTTTGGTTGCTATTAACAAGCTCCTTAGAGAATATGTAACCATTTAACTTATTGGAAATTATATCGTCTCATTCAACTTGGTTTATTTCCAAGCATGGACTCGACTTAGGTCCTCACCCTCGATTATGACTTCAGCCATAAATGAAGTCGTAATCATGGCAACCTTTTAGCCAGTTCATGATGATGCAAGCAAAATATTGATGTTGAATGTAAACTGTTGACTGTGAGCCAGACTACGTCTGGAGTGTGGATGCAGGGTGTCTCACTTGGATCTGATTGATGGGAACCTTCTTCTCCTGCAGCTGGACCAGCATGGCTTTCTCTTCAGAGGGCAGCAAGAGCAGCAGAGCTTCTCCACCCTCCTTGTACCTAGCTGTGCGGCCTACCCTGTGGATGTAGGTGTCTGCATCCTCTGGACAGTCAAACTGCAGCACCCAATTGACGGCAGGGAAGTCCAGGCCTCTAGCAGCAATATCTGTGGCAAATAGGACAGCACTCTGCTTCTTGACAAAATTGTTGTAGACCTCCACCCTCTTCATTTGCTGCTGCTTGCCATGCAGCGCCAGGATGGGAATCCCAGGTCTTAGACGACAGAAGGCTCGAAACAGATACTGAACCTCTTTGCAGCAGGCAAAGAACACAATAATCTTCTTCTTCAGGTGGCTTCTAATAAAAGAGTAGAGCATGTTCACTTTGTGGTGCAACTCACACACCACGTAGCTCTGCTCCAGGGTGGCTGGCGTGCTGAACTTGGCTTTCTCATGAACCCACACAAACTCTGGATCCTTGAGACTAAGACGGGCCAGATCTTTCACACTCCTGGTCTGTGTGGCGGAAAACAGCAGGGTCTGTCGTGACTTGGGCAGATTATCCACTATGGCATTGAGCGTGTCTGCAAAGCCCATGTCCAGGATGCGGTCCGCCTCGTCGAGGACAAGCATGTGCAAGCTGCTAGCATGGAAGGAGGCCGTCTCGTCCATGTGTTGCAGCAGCCGCCCCGGTGTGCATATCACAATGTTGGTGCGGGATATCCGCTCTGACTCGCTCTTAAGGTCCTTACCCCCGATGACGAGCCCTGCGGAAAACTCGTGATTTTTGCCTACTTTGCGGAGAACTTCGAAGGTTTGATAGGCGAGTTCTCTGGTTGGTGATATGATGAGGACACCGAGACCGTCCATTGAGCTCCACTGCTGACGATACAGACACTCAAGCACCGGAACGACGAAGGCTAAAGTTTTTCCGGAACCAGTCTTCGCAGCACCAAGGACATCTCTGCCACGCAGAGCGAAGCCGATCGTCTGTCTCTGGATTTCTGTGGGCTGGCGATACTGAGCCTCCTGTAGACCCAACAGGGTCTTCTTCGAGATTGGAAAGTCCGAAAACTTACAAACGTCCGTCGTGTTGATGTCACCATATCTGCTCACCAGACTTTTGATATATTCCCTTTCTAGTTGCCACTCGGGTTTTTTCCTCTGCATTCTCCTTTGTTTCACACGGTCTCTCCCCTTCATGTACTTGTTCTTCCACTTCTCGAAGCATTTTACTGGATCAGCGCTCCCTCTTGTCTGAGAGGTTTTTGGTTTCCTTCTACTGGAACTCTTGTTTTTTTCTTTCATCGTTCAAAGTAAGCACAATGTCACCCTGACACGAGACTCCACAGCGTGATGAACATGGATTAGTGTCGCGTACTGC